AAGTGTGATTCATTCTCATGCTAAAACAAAGGAGGGCAAAAATTGCACATGAAATGTTGAGAAGGGTACTTACGTGAAAAGACGTATTTTACATTTTCAATTCGAGGTGAAAAGATGCACAAAAAATTAATTTTCGAATTGAGATTCTGAATTCAACATTTCAAACTTAAAGTTTGACTGTATGTCCTATAGCTTTCAATTAAAAATTAAAATTTATTCATGAAGGGGGCACAAGCTTACACCCACATTTCAAGTGCCTACAAAAAATTCCCAAATAAACAACGTCTGCCCTCAAAAATAGAGGTTAAATAGCCGTTTTGATCTGGTAAGTACAAAAAACGAGCATCTAAGTATTTTGGATTACAGTGAGCGCAATTTAATCCTTATCCATACATATTTCCATTGAATTTTAAATTCAATGATATTTCTCAGAAATCGGATCTTAAAGTTGTTCAAAACTACTATTTTTCAAATACGGATTGGAAGTTTTGTTTCACTTCTATCAATTAACATTGGTATAACTAATCTAATTTATTGGGTCGATAGAAAACACGATTCGGCCTATTCGATTAAAATTATAGAAAGATTCACCTACAATTGCAGGAGTGCTCTTCAACCAGATATTAAGGAAAAAAATTTGATAATTAAAGGCACGCATGTTGTAAATAATTCGATCCCTTTTTAAGTTCTTGTCGCGGTTCTACAAAAAAAAAACCGAGATTTACCGCCGAACAAGCATTGCATGCGAAAAGTCCGTAAAGATGTGAATATTTGTAGCCCTAATTTAATTTTTGGAAGGAAAAACTTCAATCACCATTCGAATTTATACGCTTACATTGTTAATAAATTTTCGAAATTGTTTTCCGGAAACCTGTTGAAACGAGTGTTTCGATCCGTTATATAGCAAAAGACAAATGCATCCTTCCCATCGTGAATTTTTGATGAAGCAATATGCAAAACATTATTTATTAGACTATTTTGAAATTGTAAAACGCCACTTGAACGTAAATTTACGAAATTATCGGCTCGGGTCTCGATGACTCATTAAAAAGTCACTGTTACGCACCAGCATTAGGTAAATTTAGCATAACGTATGGCACGCAATTTTTGTAACCTTTACTACGTATTTTAAATGCCACGCGATTTTAAAATTTTACAGACATGCAAAACATAATAGCGATTACTTCATTTTGGAGGTCGTTTTTTTTGACAATTATAACCTTTTCAATAAAGTGTACATTTAGCAATACGCGTGTCTGCAACTTGTTCAATTTGAGCATCCACTAATTGAGAATCGATTAGCACAAAACTTAATGGAAGCGTCATAAATAGATTTGCGCTGAAAAAGATGGTATTAAAATCCGTTGTTATAGGGGTTAACTACCCTTATTCTACACTGTGTCCACTTCCGCAACAATGAGAAATATTACTATAGAAAATTGAAATATTTCACTCCTACTTACACATACCTATTAGAAACGCATAGCTAATATAAATAAATAGTTTTCTATTTTGTCTCTACATTCATGGGCGTAAATGAATCATTTGATGAATTCATATTGTGTTTTATTTTATTATTTTAAGATACCTTATCAAGAATGCCAATTCATCGCAGAGGAAATGGAGACCATATAGAGCACTATTTTTTTTTTACAAACCGCATAGGTCTGTTAAACCAAGAAAATTAGAACGATTTTGCCCGGAAGTTGTAAATTTTTGCAAACAGTTCGTATCGAAATGCCGTTTTCAGAAGAAGCAAATGTTGTATAATACTGGCCGAGCCATTTTTTGAAAAATGTGTAAGGGTTGCAAATAATGTATTTATTATTATTTCATTATTTATCCATGTCCATAAAATACCTTCGACAGTGACCCTTTCTGATCGCCTTTATCATAATTATAAAGTTTATCTCTACCTCTGGATTAAAGGCATCTTTATTATATTTATTATATAAAATGGGTCAATTGTATCTACGATCATAATATTGAATGGTTTGCATGGTGTAGTGGTGAGTGCTAAAGGCCTAAAGGATCTCTTAAACTTTAGGTTTATTTATTTGACATTTATGGCAATTCCTAACATATAATGCCACATCTTGTGACATATTTTTCCAATGGTAAAGGTTTCTTAACTTTGCATATAATCTTTTCTGTCCACAAAAACCTCCTTGTAATGGATTGTCGTGATATGTTTTTAATAAAGTTTCCTTTTCAGTTTTATCGTATGTGATAGTAATCTTGTGAGTTTTTAATCAGTCAAAACGAAAATCAGTTTTAATACAAACTTACAATGACACATTTCTTTAATTAAATTTTTGACACTTTTCAAAATTACTTATATACTAAACTGGCGCTGTGTGAATATCAAACTTGATTATAATTATATTCCAACAGCCCCACTTAATCTAATGAAGATACATACACAAAACTTGTAAACTAAACTACTTATAAACATATATATTTGAAATTACATACATCCTAAATAGTTAACAAAATATTTGTGTTTTGGCCCTGCTAAACCTTTTGTGAAAATATCAGCTGGCATCTGATCTGTTGAAATATACTCTAAGCATATATCTTTTCTTTCAACTGCCTCTCTTTTAAAATGATATTTTACATTTTTATGTTCTATTATGAAATACAGGATTTGAAACCAACTTCTGCGCACTTTGACTATCATTACATAACAAAGTAGTTTCATCTATTTGTAAAATTTCACCAAGAAAACCTTTTAAAAATATAGCTTCTTTAGTTGCTTGACAAATAGATACATATTCTGCTTCGGTACTAGATAAACTTACTGATGCTTGTTTCTTTGATTCCCATGAAATTGCCCCTCCTGACAACAAACACAAATAACCAGTATATGATTTTCCATCGATTAAATTATTTCCCCAATCAGCATCACAAAATCCTTTGATTTCCAAATCACCTTTTTTGAAAATTAAACTCTGATCAATGGTCCCTTTTAAATAACTCAAAATTCTTTTAGCATGTTGAAAATGAGTATTTGTGTAACAAGTATTAAACTGACTTGGATAGCTTACAGAAAAAGCTATATCAGGTCTCGAATTAACTGCTAAAAACATTAAAGAACCTATAAGACATCTGTAAGGAATACTTTCATCACGTTTCCCTTTTTCTAATTTTAACCTTGGTTCGATAGGAGTTGAAACTGGTTTACAATCTTTCATACCAAATCTCTCTAACAAATATAAGATATAATGCTTTTGATTTACTCTTAATTCCTGCTTACTTTTATCTAGTTCAATATTTAAACCTAAACATTTCTTGACTTGGCCCAAGTCCTTAAGTTTAAAATTCTCTGATAAAACACCCTTTAATTTAGCAACTTCACCAGCATTATTATAGAAAATCAAAAAATCATCAACATACAAGGCAACAAACAATTGTTCCTTCAATTCTTTTCATATAAAGACAAGATTCATATTTAGACTTTTTGTAATCCAATTCTGTCAAAGTTTGCTCAACTCTTAAATTCCACATACGTGAAGCTTGTTTAAGCCCATATATGGCTTTGTTTAATAAACATACCTTATTATTTTTAATATAACCTTCCGGTTGAGCCATAAAAATTCTTTCGTTCAAATGACTATTAAGAAAAGCTGTGGTAATGTCTACATGATCTACTTCTAAATCAACACTTACCGCTATGGCAAAAAGTATTCTTAAAGTAGAGTTTCTAACAACTGGTCGTTTCTGTATAGCCTATTCCATACTGTTGAGTAAAACCACGAGCAACTAGTCTGGTTTTATATCTCTTCTCACCCTTTGAATCACACTTTAATTGATTGCACTGAACAATCTTCTGATTTTCTGGTTGTTCAACTAATGTCCATACTTGATTGTTTATTAGTGACTCGTACTCTTCATCCATTGCTTTTCTCCATTTTTCTGCATCATCACGACTCAAGGCCTCAGATACAGTGCTTGGTTCTTCATTCATCGCTTCCGATACCAAATACAGTACATGGTCTGTATAAGTTTTGTCTTTTCTCAACCTTTCCGATCTTCTGAGTTGTACATCATTTTCTTGTGGAATATCCACTTCCAGATCATCATCAGATTGTGCATCGGAATTTCTACGTGAGCATCCTCCTTTTGAATAACCAGATTTCTCTTCATCTCATCAGGATCATTTTTCCTAGATTGAAATTGATTTTCGAAGAAAACAACATCTCTAGATTTGATGATGTGACCTGATTTTTCAATATCAAACAGTCTGTAAGCTTTACTATGTTCATCGTAACCCACGAACACATATTCCTTGCTCTTTGGATCGAATTTCTTTCTTAATTGTTGCGGTATATGAGCCTGTGCTATACAGCCAAAAACTTTTAAATGTTTGAGATTAATTCTCAATCCTGACCATTTTTCTTCTGGCGTACATCCTTTTACAGCTTTGTGAGGTGATCTATTCTTCAAATAAACTGCGGTGTTGACAGCTTCAGCCCACATCTTTTGATCTAGATCTGCCTCAAGCAACATACAGCTTTTTTTACTATGGTCCTATTTGTCCTCTCTGCTACACCGTTTTGTTGAGGTGTGTAAGTGACAGTGGTTTGATGATCAATGCCTTTCATTTTGAAATAATTTGTGAAACCTTCATTGACATACTCTGTTCCATTGTCACTTCTAACCTTCTTAATTCTCTTACCCGTTTGATTCTCAACAAATATTTGAAATTGTTTAAAATGATCTAGGACTTGACTTTTAAATTTCAAAAAATATACAAATACTTTTCTAGTATAATCTCATCAATTAGTACAGAAATGTATCTTGCCCCACTCCAAGAGGAAACTGGCATAGGTCCACATAAATCTGTGTGCACTAATTCTAAAATATTTGTAGCTCGCTTACCTCCTGTCTTATTAAACGGTTGCCTCATCTGCTTTCCCAGCAAACACCTTTGACATTGGTCCCCTTTTCCATTGCCGTACATTATGCCATCAGCCATTCCATTTTTCAATAGCTGCATACTAACTCGATTGAGTTAGTCTCCTGCGCCACAATTCTTCGGAATTTGGATTTGCCACAGTAAGCAAACTCTGCTGCTCCAAAACATCCAACTCGTAGAGCCCACCGTTCATGGTCGCAGTAGCCACAACCTCTCCTTTGACATGGAATTTTTCATTGTCATAAATAACACATTTATCTTCATTAAAGACCACAGCATGTCCTTTTTCTACCATTTTGCTTACCGACAGTAAGTTAGCCCTTAATTCTGGAACATAGACGATCTCGGATATTGTTTTGATACCTGACTTGGTATGCACTGGAGCGTTTCCGATACCTGCACCAGATATCCTTTGATTGTTAGCAACTACAATCTTGGAATCTATCAGATTTTCAAAATCTTCAAGACAATCCCTTTCAAATGTCATGTGTGTGGTTGTCCCTGAGCCAATATACCACTTCTGAGAATATTGGACACTGTTGTTGGTAACAGAAGTCTGCAATGCCTTCTCGGATTTGGAATGATCCTTTTTATCCTTTTGGTACTTACTCTTTCTCTCATTAGACTTTTTATTTTCTTCTGAATTTGAGCTCTTATAGGAACACTGATTTTTATCATGTCCCATGCCTCCACACGAATAACATCTTACTACCTTTCTTCCATGTCTTTTTATTTGATAACAAAGCAACTTCATGATTTTCCTTGTTGTATTTATCATCTTGAAGTAATTTAGCTTCTACAAAATCACTTGTAATCGATTCAACACAATTTTCAATTGCCATGACCATGGGATCATATTCTGGAGTAAGGCCACTTAACAAAATAACACCCAAAAACTCATCATCCACCGGATGTTGCATATCTCGTAACTTTTGAGCTAGTGACATTCCCTCATTTACATATGCCTCCATAGTTTTATATTCTTCTCACTTAATTCTTACTAACTGCCTGATCAAACTCAATCTCCTTGACAATCCCGTATCTTCATAAGCCTTTGATAAATTTTGCCAAGCTTCCTTCGCAGATCGAGCATTACGAACATGTGGTAAGTGCACGGTTGTACCATCAAACATATTTTGGCTAGAGCTTTCTGTTCTGACTTTTGTTTGACGTTTTCCTTAGTTGTGTCATCCTCTGGATAGCCTTCTATGCATCCCCAAAGACCTTCATGCATAAGCGCCATTTTCATCCCAAATTTCCAGTTGTTAAAGTTCTCCCTGCCGACTAATTTCTCGAATCCTAAGGATATACTCGAGTGTTCTGCCATTTTATACAAGTTTTCTGAACTTAACACTTCTCTGATGTATAACGTTGACTTTCGTACTAACTTATTTAGTTGTTTAACATTTTATTTCTCATAATAAGGCAGCATTGAGTTGTTTTTATTTTAGAAAACAAATGAGTAACGAAAAACAATTGAATTTTTTTAATGGCAGTGCACCTTTTCATTATTTGACAGAGATTTTTTTTTTCTTTTCGATACATGTCTCGTACACGTTAGTACTCTAATTAAAAAAATTTCAAAAAAACGTATCATTATTACATCAATAACATTAAAATATCCTACATCAAAATAAAACAAATGAACGTGTACGTTTTTAATTAAGCCTTGAAGATAACATGAAATTGGCAATAAAATGGTAACAAAAGCACAGATTCATTTGTTTTATTTTGATGTAGGATATCTAGATTAATGTTATTGATGTAATAATAAGTTTTTTTTGAACAATTTTAGAGTAAGTACTCACATGTACACCATGGAAAAGAGAAAAAAATCTCTATCAAATGGGCCTAATGAAAAGGTGCACTGTCATAAAACAAAACTTGCTCACGACTTATTATTGTTTTTGATCTACCATCTACTACCATCAAATCCCAACAATATAAAAGGGAGCAATTTATCTCTAAAAAAACTGTAAACTACCTTGGTCTGTACTGAATGCAGTTATATTTTGAGAATCTGGATCTAACTTGACTTGATGAAATCCAGAAAATAAATCTAAGACTGAAAAATATTTTGCTCTACCCAGGTTATCTAAAATGTCATCGACAAGTGGTAATGGGATTTTATCTGGAATTAATTTTTTATTAATTAATCTAAAATCAATAGACATCCCCCATTTCCTCTCACCGTCTATGAATTTCTCAGGTACTAAAATCACTGGGGGAATTATATCTACTATGCTCTATTACCTATACCCGATTTTAACCTTTTATCTACTCGTTTGTTAATCTCTATTTAATGAAAATAAGGTAATATATAATTTTTAATACACACTGGGGAATTATCAGTAAGTTTTTGCTCATAAAAATTATTGACTGAAGCTGTATCCTCCTCTAATGCAAATGTATCTGCAAATTCATCACATAAACCTTTAACTTTACCCAAATTAGAAGTGATATTTGTTTGTGATAGTTTCGACCAAACTTTCTCTTTTCTATTGGATGCTTCTTCGCCAAAAAATATCAAATTTTGAAATATCTTCAATTATTATTTAAAATTACGGGTTTATCAGAACTCTCAAATTTGGATTTTTAGATGAAGTAATAGATTTCGTAATAAAATCACCTGGACCTAATTCTTGTGCTTCTGTATCAGTACCTTTAAGTTTAAAAGATCTAAATACTTCACATCTGGGTGGGATTACTATTGTATCCTGATCTGGACCTTGCTAACTTCAAAATATGGAAATTTTATTGTAAAAATCATTGTTTCATAATCAAGGTTGCAGTAATATTTCTTTATAAAATCTTTAACCAAAATTCCGTCCGCTGGCGTTGGAAAAGTTTCCTCTACTACCTGAAATGTATGTTCGCAGTAACAGTGTTCTCTGTTATTTCTTTTATATTCACGTAATTTTCGTTAATTAACTGAATTATTATTCGTTATGGATCCACTTCTTTTAATAACTGATATACCTGCCTGAGTACCTACTAAATTCGAATGAGATTGCGGAGAGTAAATAATGACACAATCAGAATAAGATAAATTCATGCGAAAATATTAACACCTGTGTATTCGTTTAATTGTCTCCCAGGGGATGCCGCCCTGGGTATTGCTAGCATCCCGAATTCTGATATACTTTAATATTTGGATTTTGTGAGTAACCTCTACCCCTACTACTATTCTGGTAAAAATGTTTAGTCCTATTTGCGTTAAAGTTCAAATTTCTTCACGGTTAAAGTTTGTGCGGTCATTTCTTCTAAACTTATTTCCTCTAAAATGATTTGTTGATGTACTGCCGTGGAATTACGTGAAAATTTGTCTAACCGTTACCTCATCACTAATTTCAACTACAAATTTGGCAAGTACTTCCTTGTGGTTGTTGAAATTTCCACCAGCAAGAACTGATTTTAGTAGATTTGATCTTTCTCCAAGTTTCAACCATTATCCTTACTACCATTGATTCAGCTTTTAAATCCGAGGTTCCTTCCATTATTAATGAACGTTTTAAACATTCGGCTGATACCTCTGCCTCCCTAGTGAAGGTTTGCAAACTTTTCCTATCCTGCCTAGCTTCTATTACCTAAGAAAAATCGGGTTTAATGTTTGCCCTCAATGCATTTCGAATTTCCTTCAAAATTCAGTAATTAGTTAATTAATAACTATGATCAAAATCCAATTTGAATGAGTAAGCTAAAGTAGGTCTTTAACCGTCAAGGGTAGGTAAAGTCAAACAAATCATTCTTATTTAAAATGGGACGCGAAGCACGATATAAAATGACGTTGAGAACATATGGCAATGCTGTTTCTAAGGACACGACTGCGGCTACAGAACCTAAGCAAGATTGTCAGAAGCTTTGTAATGATTTATCTGGCTTCTGCTATAAAACAAAGTTTTGTATTACACACGACAATAAATACTAACCATCTCGTGAAAGTTAATTCACTGAATGGTTAACATATCCTTTTGTCGTCTTATATAATATCTAAATAACTATTTTAGATAGATGAAAATTCAGTTAATGTAGATAATCCGATGGTTCTACTTCACCTGTAAAAAAAAGCCTGGTTATAAGATCTATATGTTTAGGGTAAATCAAATAGGGAATCTAAAAGCAAAGTTATAAATGTGTTTATAAAGGAATGTGATAGGTAAGTTGCATATCGTCGGGCGTACGAGGCTCCGTATAGTGAATTTAATTTAATGCCACACTCTTATAACTTTACACTGTTATGCATATTTTGTGAGATTTTCAGATTGCTATTAGCCAAATTGCGAGTATTTGAAAGTATAAGCTTGAATTCATTTGTCCGTCCACATTTCGTCTTCATTTAAGTGTACGAGGGCGCTCAGAAATGGCGTATTCTCAAGTTTTTCCCTTTTTAGAGAATTTTCCCAAAAATAAACAAAAATGCGCTATTGTGACCACTTTGTCCGTCCGTCTGTCCGTTTGTTCGTCCGTCTGGAGACTGGACGCTACTCGTTCTTTATCTTAAGAGCTATTTTCTGCTTTTTTTTAGCGCATTTGGAATTAATTAACTTGGTTTTTTTAAGTGATGGTAACCTCAACACAACAGTAATTGTTTAATGAGGTACCTATCTGCGATTCATCTACTACTCGTATTATTTATTTGTTTTAGTTCATTATTTTTTAGAACATATTGTTATTTTTTGTCTGTTTTTGTGTATATCCAATGATGAACGTGGAAATAAAAGTATCTACCTATATCTATTTCTTTTTCGAGATCAGTGAGCGACGGGGCCTGGGGGGGGGGGGGGTTAAAAATTAATTTTATCTCTCATTGTATCCTAATTAAAGGTCTAAACGAAAGGAACCGTTTTCTACCACCTACTACCCTTCTTTCTGTCCTCTTATCGAAGTACAGGGTGGAAGGGAGGGGGGGGGGGGGGGGAACTAGTTTTATCCTTCATGGTACTCTAATGAAAGGTCTCATCGAAAGGAATTAATTTCTATCAACCATAGCCCTCCTCCTAGACCTTTTATCGTGATCGGGTACCTTTATACCTCAAGAACGGATAGTCGGAAGAGGGTACTCACAAAGGGCGATTGAGAAGTCTGCAAGAAATATACTTATCCATTGGTGATGTCAAAACAAAAGCTATTTCGGTTTAAAAAAATGCGCTTTATCTGTACAAGAGTTGTGCACATTTTATTAAATCCGAAGTAAGAAAAGAACAAATATCATATTATAAAACACGCTGCAATGATAATATTACTAACATGTGGAAAGACTTTCAACATCTAAAGACGCGTACTAAGTCTGAAATTCCACAACACTTAGCAAATGTTAATGAATTAAACAAATATTTTATAGAGTCGGTACCTGTCTCTAACGCCAATATGACAACTGCTAAAGGATTCTATGAAATTCACGTGGCTAAAACTGTCAAATCAAAGCTGGAATTTACTACAGTATCGGAGGAAGAGGTATTTAAAATAATTTTATCCATCAAATCCAAAGCGAGTGGGGTGGATGGTATTAATATCAGTGTTATAAGATTATGTGTGCCGTACTTGCACAAATAGTTTCCGTAGGCGGTAATATTTCACAATCGTTACTTGTGAAGAGCGGTGTTCCGCAGGGGTCTGTATTGGGTCCCATATTATTCACCATATACATATCGACATTTCCTGGCGTTCTTCATTCTTGTTTGTCTCATTTTACGCTGATGACACTCAAATATATTACTCTTTTTTACCCAATGAGGTGCACCAAGCGTGCGTAACAATGAGCGATGAGTTGGAGCGCGTGTCAGGAGTGTCGGCAGCGCACGGCCTCCCATTGAAACCTGATAAATCGAAAATGGTACTTTTCGGTAGTCGTCAAAATAGGTTTAAAGTTATGGATAGAATAAATATAACGATAAATAATAGGCCGTTGACGTTGGAGGATAGGGTGAATAATTTGGGGTTTATCATGGATTCAGACTTGCGTTTTGATCAT